CCTGTAGTAGCCTAACTACATTAGTTGTACGAACGAATGGTATTTCGCATTCGTTCGTACAACTAATGTAGTTGGGCTACTACAGGGAACGCTTTATCTGCGACAGTCACAGATTAGCTCACGCACCGAATTCATAAGCTACTGTTCCTAATTTTCTTGTCTGTCCTCCAGGCAGCTAACTTTTGGCTCGCATACCTAATGTTAAGCTGGAGCAGCTAACTTTTTTTTTTCCGTGTATGTAACTGTTGTTATATTTTGCAGAAAAATAATTGTCTTTCAAAACTTTTCAAAGTAGTAACTTAACTAATCATTAATAGGTTCCTATGTTATGTCCAGCATTACAACAAATGAAAATCATAACTACACCTTGAAAGTCACCTGAGAAATACTTAGAAAATTTTTTTAATGAGAGAATTTTTTGACTGATACCTTAAAAAAATGTCTATTATGAAACTTCAGGGACAGTTTGCTGATTACAAAAAGCATCTGATCATGGTTGTAGCTTTTATATTCACAGAGATCAATTGATGTTTCTAAATTAAGCCACACCAAGGACAATACTCGTTCTTTTTACCTCATAGCATATGAGGGCAATAAAGGTAAAGAACGAGTAAAAATAATCATGAAAGAAACTAAAGTTGTCTGTAGTCAAAGAACTGGCGGCTTTCTGGACTCAAGTCACTGCAAATCAAAATGTGAAACAAATGTGTCAACAATTGAGCAAATTATTTGTTCCTTACAAACAGACATTACCACAAAATGACTGTCTTACCTAGAAGAACCGTCATCAGATTGCAGCTCCAGTTTCACTCCTTTTGGAGTACCGGTAGTGAAATCCTCGTCATTGGAGAGTAGTTCAACAGACACCTCATCGCTGTCATCATTGACACTGGCATTGTCCTCTTCATACCATTCTTCATCGCTACAAAAATAATATTTATATAAATGGTTGCAATAATGTTATGTAAAACTCTTTTGCGATTTCTCAGTAGTTCTTGAAAATGAAGAATAACCAGTCATTACCCATCAGAGTGGTGACCCTGGCGATACATATTAATTGCCTTGTCGGCCACAAGGGTGGGAAGCTTTTTGATAAGAGATGCCATCTTGCATTTCCTCCTCTTCTCCCTTTTAGCTGCTTCTTCGTGTTCAAACAGTGTAGGCCAATCATCATAGGGCGAGTCCTCAGGCAGCTCATCCTTCAAACATTCCTGGTCCAACACATTAGGGTGGTCCCGAAGCCATTTCCTGTAGAAATCTGAGAAATTTGATTGGGAGATTAGCTAACAATTGGTTACAATGAAGATCGGAAACTTTTATAAAATATTTTGTTTGTATCAGTATACATCAGAGATTCCAAAATAAATTACACGATCATATAAAATATAATAATAAATCATAACAGTTAGAATTTTACTCACGTCTTAGAACAAATATGACTGGTGGCTGGTCAGGGAGTACCCTGAGCTTTGGGTCTTCAAGTCTCGGTTTTCTTGCCCTGTAATATTTGCTTTCAGCACCAAAAACTGAAAGAAGGGCAGCTAATGCCCAATCATCTTTTGATATTACATCCTCTATGGTACTCCAAACATCCCCGTCTGCTTCCACCCCATGACCAAGTGGAACCTTCCGATTAAAGCAGATTCAATTAGTGAGTTAGAATTTGTTCAGGCAAAAGGGTAAACCAACAAGAATTACTAGTTTGGTGCTGTTTAAGTGGAAGAACGGGCCTTTGGAAGATGAAGGGAGGTTCGACTTCTGGTGGACTTCAACTGTATTTCCAGCACTCTTTTCAGTTGATCCTGCCAATGAATTCCAAAAATTAGACATTGATTCAGTAATTTAACCTATATATTTCCAGAAATTAAACTCACTTTTCTCTAAAATGGCCAACTTTTCAGTGAAGAGATTAATTTGTTTTTGAGTCTGATCCTCGTAGCTTTGTAATTTGGCATCCAGAACATTAATATCCTCCTCTTGCTTTGTAACTTTTGCTTCTAGAGATGTCAGTCTGTTAGTAAACATGTCATCAGTCTGTGATGCTGTGTTCATCACTGGTGCGTGACTATTGGAAGTTCTGCCATCGTTTGTTTCAGCATTTGGAATTTTCTGTCAAGATTATAACGATTTCCTATTAGTAGTAGAAATTAAACAGTTCCAAAAAAAAGAACTACTCAAATTATAGTACCTCAGTCAATGTTTGTGTCGGTTTTGCTACCGAAGCCTGAATGCTTGTAGTTCCACTTGCTTTGCTGGAAGAGGATTGCCCCAGTACTGATGATTTTGTTGCCACACGCTTTTCTTGCCACATTGTTTCATGGACTTCTTAGCTCCTGGCACTGATTTGCCTCCTTTACCAACAGCAATTTTGACAGGAGCTCTGGTTTTTGAAATGTGACTTTGTACAATGCTTTGCATTGTTGAGATTTTCCCCTGATTCTTGAGAGTTCTTGACTGGAAAAAATGATAAAATTATTGTAACAACAACAACAAAAACTTACAACTTTCTGCTTCTCGTGGGTCAAAAATTGGTAGTAGAATTGTCGATGGTTCACCTTTTGAGCTACAGTTTCCGTTTGCTCCTCCTCAGAGGTTGTCACTTTCCTATTAGGCTCTATGAGATTCTTATTTGGGTAACGAATTTTTCCAGATAAGAGACTTGTTTTCACATCCTCTTCAGAAGCTAGACAAATAATTCCTTTGAAAGCAAGTTCGCCTTCTATGAAAAGAAAACAACAAAGTACAATGGAATATTACTTACTACCAGTTACCAAAATGAATACAAGTGAAGATTGTTTGGCCCCTGGGGGCTTAAATTTGAACAACGTTTGCCTATGGTTCCTTGCTTCTTTAAAATTTTTGATCCAAGCAGTGGATACAATTTGATAATCAGACTTCTTTGTAGCTTTAAGTGGCCATATGGCTGCATACATTTGAGAGTCACTCATATTTTCAAAAGCTAGTTAGTTCTATTTTGTACTTAATATAATACTTTAGAGAGGACTAGGACTAATATTAATACTGAAAAAGGGACTAGATAGGACTAGACAAGTCGGAACGTGTTGGGGCAGGTTAGGAATACGATGGGGTACGTTCGCAAGCAGCAGGTAGAACCACTGGTGGCCGAGTTCACGTGCTGGTCACATGTGAAATTTTCGCACCGAACGACACCCCGATTCAAAACTACTTTTATAGGAGGCGATTGTAATCTATTTATTTATATTTTTGTATCAAGTGTGGTTTTTGAAACATGCTTACCATCAGGAACTGATTGGAGTAAAAAGTTATACGTGACTGTACACACAAATCATCCGCACAAAATCATACAAGAACGCACCTATCAGCTGTTATTGTTATTGTTTGGTATGTTTGCGAGGTGGTTGTCTTCTAGTTGTGTCACTTTCTAGCACAAATATGTTACCAAAACGGTTGAGTAGTGAGAATGTTACTGAAAGAACGAAACGTAATCGAAAACAGAAACAAGAGAAGGCTATTGTGCAGTGTGAGAATCTTGCATCTGTATCATGCTCGACACCCAACCAGAAATGTCCATATCTGATTCTAGATAAAATTAAGAACTGAAAGCAGATATATGGTCAGATACGGTCAGATTCAATTGCAGGTTTGTCTCCAAACACACCTTATGGGCAGATTTAAGTCCAGTTCTGGGTGCAGAATAATTGTAATATCTGTAATTGTACTCTTTCTCATTACCGCAGTCAGATCTGTCGGCCTTAATAAGCGCGCGAAATTTGTCATAAGCATACCATATTTGGCACCATGTCTGCTATTTGTTCAGGTATGCAGACAGAAATGGTGACATGTATGGCATCAGAAGCGGAGTAAATCCAGATCAGATCTCAGATGTTCATGCACCCTGATGAGCCGATGGACAGTCCGTGGAATGGTCCGTATATGTCCGTGGCTGTCCTTGTGCAGTCCCCAACTGTCCACCGTGTCTATTGTGTCCATCAGTCTGTCCGAGGACCAGTCCATAACCTGTCCTCGGTTCAGTCTGCATTCATAACTACAGTCCGTCGTTTGAAATGTCCATGGCATGTGTCCGAAGCTGTCCACCACGGCTCGTCTGTCCATAGATCTGTCCGTTACCTATGACCACCAAATGTCTATGGACCGTTCCACAGGACTGGTCCGTAGGACTGTCCGCTAGTTGTCCATCGACATGTCCATCGCCTTGCACATCATGACGTTCGTGCCATGTCCGCCGACATGTCCACGAGTTGTCCATCGACTCGTCTGTAATTTTACGTACCGAGCTGTTGCATACTGTCATAGTATACCCACGGACACTTGTGGACACTTTCGGACTGAGATGAGTTCAACCACCCGAACACTAGATGGCGCTTCGGAATTTTGACACATCAAAGTTTTAAATAAGTCATTTATACGTGAATAAGTCTTTTTAACTAGTTCATTTGTGTAATCTGTGGGTGGAGAAAGGGGTACTTAGGCTGTTCACACTTGTCCTTTATCTAGTCAACCCTTAAATTGTTTGTCATATGACGTATTACACCAACTCGCGGTGGTCATATCCAACCTCTTCACACTAACTCCATCAGCCCGCCCGCCCTCTGTCCGGTTCGCCCGGAGTCCTCCATCGCCACCAGAGGGCGGGAGGGCGGCGATTTTTGAACCGAAGATCGTGATGTCATCACGGTCACTCAATGCTACCTTTCTGAACGCAACAGATTTCTATGGAATTTCGTTCAAACATCCCGGACAGTTCAGGACTGTAACGCGGACAAACCTCGTGGACTGAATTGCGGACAGTGCCACAAATAGTCTCTCGGACCATTGCGGACAGAGCCACGGATAGGATCTCGGACTGCGGACAGCTGCGGGCAAGTCCACGGACGTTTCAATCCACGGACTGGGGCCACGGACAACTCATGGACACACCAGTGGACATGTCCTCAAATTGTCCTCATGTAGTCCGTAGCCGCTGTCCGCGTGAGCTGTCCGTCGGCTCATCAGGGCAGAACTGATTTGATTCAGAACTGGTTACATACATGGTCCCAGATATTAAAAAAATACTCAGAACTGCGTGCAGGTTTGAGAACAGACTTTTCCCCAGTACTGGGAAGGAGGTTGGAACCCCCTTTTCAATAGTACTGAGAGCATATCTGAGGACAGGTCTAAAAAGTTACAGATATGTGACCATGTATGTGTCCAGATATGCAAAAGTATCACTGCAACCGTACTATGGGGGTTTTGGGGTTGACAAGTTTCTAAAGAAAAATACAGTACATAGAAAAGTAGCAAACTGTGTGTAATTTTAAAAAAAGTTCACATTGAATGAGAACACTTTACCTAACACTCAAAATAGGTATGGTTCTTTAAAACAACAACCTAAATGATTACAAACAACTGCTTTACGACAGAAATACCACTCAAACGAATAAGACACACTTAACTTACATATAGTGCATTTCCAAGAAGTACCATATAGCACTTACTGCTTATATTACAATTAATAAACAAAAAATATAATTAAAATCACGTTTGCCCTTTACGAAGTACCTTATAATTCAGGTACTTATTTCTGCTATAGCACTCAATATAAAGAACAAAAAACAATCAAAAATGAATTAAAAATCACATTGTTCACAAAAGAAGTAACCATAATGATTCAGGTACAAGGAACAGAAAACTACATAATTTTGTTTTTGATTAATCAGGTCTGGAAGTCATATTTGCAGCCTGCTGCTTCAGTAACTTTTTGTTCTTCCGCATGGCCCTATATTCCTCGGCACGTTTCTTGGCCCCACGCACTTCTGACAATCTGGTGCCCATCTGCCTGTGCACAGTTGTTGGATTGTCAAGAGGAATCGACCTGCCCATGCAGATCTTGCGAGCTTTTTCTGGAATGATTCAATATCATTATCAACTGTTTTAAGATCAATGTAAGTGAGCTGGAAGTTTTCTATACTCACTTTCAATAACTGCAACTGCATGTGGGTATAGTCCAGGGCGAGGTCTTTCGGTCTTCCCCAGAGGACCCTTTTGGGCATTCCCAAGGAGGAAGCAACTACACATTGCATCCGTTGTGAACACTAGATCGAGCAAATTCCTGGCAACAGTGGTGTGAGCCAACTTGTTTCTGCTTAGCAAAGTTTCATACGCATCTTCATCGACATAAATGCCACTCCCTTTGGAGAGCTCAATAACCTTTACACAGAAAAGGACAAATTATTATCACAGTATATATGAGTAATTAAGATAACTTAAAAAAACTAAAACAAATAAAAGAATGCTTACATCACTATCCCCTTTTTGATGAAGCAGTTGTGCAAGCATTTGTTGCTTGGTAAGCTTTGGAGGCTTGCTCAAGTCTTCATCCGATGATGTATCATCATCGCTGCTGCTGTCTTCACCAGAACTCTTATCATCCTCCTTCGCCTTGCTTTTGTCACCATGTTCACCATCTTGTCCATCTCCCTCATGTTCATCTGGCTCTCTGTCCTCTCCCACTTCTTCCTCACCGTCCAGGGACTCATCCCCATCCCCATTCCCATTCTCGGAATCACTTCCATCTGCTTTTTCAACATTCTTCACTTTGGCCTCTTGCATTTCATCATCAGAATCATCATCTGATGACCCCTCTTTGTCAGTGTTCCTCATTACTGCTCCATTTTCCTTAAGAATGGGAGATGTTTTCTCGACATCAATAGAGTATTCCGGCGGCAGGATCAGAGAAGACTCATGGAAGAACAAAAGCCTACTGCGCATGAGCAGACTATGGTGGGGGGCGGCTCGGCCGGCCCGGTGTCGCCCCCCACCATAGTCTGCTCAGGCGCAGTAGGCTTTTGTTCTTCCATGAGTCTTCTCTAATCCTGCCGCCGGAATACTCTATAGCTGCAAGAGACATTTTAAACACGATTTAAAACTAAATTGATTTGTAGCCAAAAACGAGTATGTGGTAATACCAACTAATGGCAGTAAACAACATCAAAACAATTCTTTAAATAAAGTTATCATGCAGGATAGCTCTCAAAATTTGTCTTACAAAGTCCCCAGAAAGCAACTTTTATTTTAAAAATTATCTTATTTGTTTTGAGAGTTGGTTTACATAATTAAACAAAAATTTCTATTCTGAATGAATTATCCCCTCAGGTTTCAAAAGAATGCTTTTCAAAAAAAAGAGTTTTAAAAAGACCGCTCTAAAAATCAAAACATCCACATTCAAAATGTAAGAAACTTACAGACTATTTTGATTGACGTAGGGGTTGAAGCAGCTATCTACGCAGGATGATTCAAAGTGACCAAAGTGGCTGACTGGCTGGTGGCAGCTTTCTTAGCAAGTGCACTCAGCTACAAAACAAACAAAGTATGAACTGAGATGACACCTTGCAAAAATGCGCATTAGGCACTACTAAATTGTTGTAAAATAGTTTCATCACTGGTTCTTTAATCAGAGCAAAAAGTTTACTAACCTTACTGACTTTCATCTTTGGCGGCTTTCCACCATCCACAGCAGGTTTTTGCTTGGATTGATTTTTTGACTTCAATGCAGCCCGTTGCTGCTTTTCGGCAAAACTTTTCTCTGCTCGAATTGAGTCGTCATTCCACTTCCCCTTGTGTTGTCTCTTAATTATGCGAATGGCAAGGCTATCAGCAGTGCCTGTTTCCAAAAAGAGCAAAAGTAAAGACTGATTAATAAAATAACAATCGAAAATAGAAGTACTCAACCAAGGATGTGAACTGAAAGTCCACCATACATTTTAAATGAGGGTTTGCAAGCAAAATGCATCTAATGGACGAGAATGAGAAGAAAGTAAAAGTTATCATAGGAGAGCTATGTGAAACGCTGAGCAGTGCCGAACATGAATGGAAATTTGCCCCATCTAACTGCTTTTAAAGCATGGTGCCATAGAGAAAGGTTAGGGTATAGGATATTCGAATTCACAACGAATGCGTGCGAGAATAAATGTTAAATAACTTCACACTTGGGAAGAAGGGGAATAGCAGTAGAAGCTGAGAACTGCAAGGCAGAAAATAATGACCAACAAGAACTTCACATTTCCGCGATCATAATCTACGTAACCAGAGAACCTAAACTTTGAAATTTGATTTCGACAGCGATGTGTACCTACCAGACTCTCTTTTCAAGCTTTTCTTAGACGGCATTGCAGTGTTCTTCAATCAGGAATCCCTTACAAAGCAAGCTCAGCCTCTCTGTCCTCACGGCGGCGGCACAAGTGTGTCGAGCGAAGAGTCAGGTCAAGGTGTAATGGCGGTCTGAAGGCGCGAGACGGAAAAGCAGTTCCCCAAGTTCTGACGAAACCCAATTTATCAGAGGCTCCGCGATTCTTTCACGAAAACCACAGAAATATATCACTAAAAACGAATAAAAAGCAGAGAAAGGCGATTCAAATCCTTAGTTAAAGATTCTAGCTGGAACAGTGATGTTAAAATTCCTAGATTTAGTTTTTTGAGTTTCCCAAAATGTAGTCTGATGCTACAACTACGCTAGTTTTGGACTATCCAGTCTTGCTTGTCCTTTCCTGGATATAAAAAATAAATGACAACTGTTTCTTTCAAAAAATTCAAAATATTCTTTTCTTTGCAAAAATATTATTTTAGAGGGTGTTCTACGGTGAAATATTTAATTGGGTAGCATTTTCTCACAGTCACAGATGACTCGCTAACTTACAGTTGACAAATGAATGACGCCGGCTTGCAGAGGAAGCAGCCGAAGCAGTATCAGAAAAAAAAAAACAATAACAATGGCCCATGATCCTTGTAACTTTTAATCGAAAAAAGAATTCTGAAGTATTCTCTGATTGTCAAGCAATCAGCAGTTCTAACGAAATGTAATTTTACTTTAGAAATTGTTTTCATGCAGAGACGTAAAGACCACATAGCCTCGACTCGACGTGAATAAGTGACCATCGAAGTAAGTTTAACCTCTTCAAATCTTTGTCAAGTGTCCAAGTGTCTACGTCCTTTCATTCATTCTGCTGTGTCTTTTATAGATCATGTCTAGCAACGATGAACCAGAGGAAAATATCCAACAACCAATCAAGAAAAGGAAACAATGGCTGAAGGGAAAAGAAGTATGTCTCTTGACATTGTCCTGACTAATTTTTCTTTCAGTGTTTTGACGTTTACTAACCCATTTCTATTTTAACTTAGGTCCCAAGGAGTACTTTGCAACGTTGGCTGGCCCAAGAAAGGGCCGATTCACTTGCTGCTGCTGCTGACGCTTCTGCTGGAGCAAGCCAAGAAGAAGAGGGGCACATTGACGCAGAACAGCAAGTTTTAAATGTCGAACCTCAAGAAGAATACCAAGAAATCAATCAAGACATTGGAGAAGAGGAAAGCCAATTGAGTTCTAGCTTATCTGAAAGCAGTACCACTCCTGATTTAAGTTCTGACAGTGAACATGAAGAAAGCTCAAACTCAAGTGATACTGGTTCTCAAATTAATGATAGGCCTATGAATGAAGTGTTGTTCCGTGGTTCAAGGAGCAGCAAGGGAGAAGCTGTATCTAGTCTTCTGGATCTGTGTTGCAAACATGCTGTGTCAAAAGCATTAATGAGTGATCTAGTTGAGTATACCAATAAGTTATTACCAAGACCCAATTGTTTTCCCCAGACCCTTTATTATTTTCAGAAAGAAATTGGTTGTTACATTCCACCTGATACATGTGTATCACATTACTGCTGTGAAGAATGTGGCACATATCTTGGTACTACTGACACTAGAAAAGATGACTGTGGTGTGTGTAAGGTGACAGTGGAAAAGAGATTTTATGAATTTCCCCTGGCAACTCAACTTAAATATCTTTTTGAGGAGAGAAACTTAGCAGCTGTTATGGATTCATATGAAGCTAAGGCTGGAGGTTCTTCAGATATCACCAAGGGTGAGGAGTACTTGAAAGTAAAGTCACATTTGAAAGGGAAATATGATGTAGTGTTACTCACAAGTACTGACGGATTAAGTCCACATAAAAATTCAAGCGAAGAAATTTGGGCCCTCACCTACACCATTTGTGAAGTTCCGCCTAGCCTTAGAAAACCTTTCACCATGGTTACCCAGATATGGTGTGGAAAGAAGAAACCACTTATGAATGGGTTTATGGTTCCATTCTCTAAAAGTATAAATGCAATTTATCACCATGGAGTTGTGTGGACTCATCCAAAAACAAAAGTTGTTCATACCACAAAAGGAACTGCACCAGTTCACACCTTGGATGCACCTGCAAGAGCTATGCTTCAGAATATTACTTCTCATAGCGGGTTCTTCAGCTGCAATATATGTGAAATAGAGGGAGAGTGTATCAAACATGGTAAAGGACACAAAACCATCTATCCATATGCTGAGGATGAAGACTTAGTTTTACGAGAGAAGAAAGCAATGGAAACTCAAACTAAATCAGTGCTATCAAATGGCGTTGTTTGCAAGGGTGTGAGAGGAGATTGTGTTTTGAATACAATCCCAGAGTGCAACAGAGCCACTGCATTAGTTT